CCCTCACCTGTGTGCAGACGGGCTCTGTGCAACCCCGCCTGCCTCATCTGTGCAAGCTCACAAGCACCACGGGTGCTGCATGCTGAGTGTGATGGCACTTGGGCACCTCGCCAGCCAGCTGGCCCTGAGCTGAGTGAGTCAGTGAGACAGTGTCCCCCTGGGCCATCCTTGTGGCCAAGGCTGGGATGCACAGAAGGGTTAGAGGCAGATGCTCAGCCCGGAAGGGGCACACCCGGCGAGGTCAGCAGGCTAGGCTGGTGGCAGCACCTGGTGGGGTCACCGTGCTGCCCCCGCGCCGCTCCCCACCCAGACGCTGACTCCTGTTGCCATCTCATACCTCCTCGGGCCCCTGAGTTTGTGGGACCCTCTGCTGGGATAGCTCAGGGCCCACAGGATCCTGCATGCCGTGGTGCCAGATGTCAGATTCACCCACTAGCTGGGGCTCTTCAGACCCCCAAGCCTTACCCAGCCAGGCAGCCATGTGTTTATAGCTTTTTTTGGCCCTGAAATCACTGCAGGTCATTCTGCTTCATTGGTGTCTGCTGCCCTGGGACCCCAGCTCTGAGGACAGAGCCTGTGCAGTGAAGAGGAAAGAGAGGGAGGGAGGGAGGGAAACAAAAAAGCAAAGAGAGCACGCAGTAGAAATCAGATGAAAGAAGAGAGTAACAACTAGTGCCCCCAAATAAAAAGAATCAAAATATGCTTCCGTGGGCAGTTATGTACACACGAAGGAGATCACCTAGAAAAACCACACAGCCAAAGCTGAATCACGGAGAAAGAGGAAAATCTGAAAAGACCTGTGATGAGCAAAGAGATTAAATCTGTAATCAAAAACCTTCCAACAAAGAAAAGCCTAGGACCAGATGGTTTCACAGGAGAATTCTGCTGAACATTTGAAGTAAAGTTAATACCAGGCCTTCTCAAACACTAGAAAAGTTGGAGGAGACTAACTCATTTTACAAAGTCAGCATTACCCCGATGCCAATGCCAGACAAGGATACCACGAAAAAAGAAAATGAAAGGTCAATATCTCTGATGAACATAGATACAAAAATTCTGAACAAAATACTAGCAAATGAAATTCAGTAGCATATTAGAAGGACCACCCACTATGGCCAAGCAGGATTTATCCCTGGGTACAAGGACGGTTCAACACACAGAGATCAGTGCTGATGCAACACATTAACAGAGTGAAGGGTAAAACTATAGGATGATCTCAGTAGATGCAGGAAAAGCATATGACAAAACCCAGCATCTATTCATGATTAAAACACTCAGCAAGGGGCTGGGCATATAGCTCAGTGGCACAAGTGCCTGCCTGGCAAGTGCAAGGTCCTAAGTTCAATTTCCAGTACCAAGAAACAAAACAAAACCCCTAGCAAACTAGATACAGAAGGAATGAACTGCCCCACAATAAAGCCCATGTGTGACATGCCCACAGACAGTATCATATACAACAGTGTGAAAGCAAAAGATTTTCCCCCCAAAACAGAAACAAGACAGGTCACCCATACTCCACACTTCTGTTCAACACAGTGCCTGCTGCAAGTCCTGGCCAGAACGATTAGCCCAAAGAAAGGGGAAAAGCACCTACAGTGAAGAAGGAGTGAAATTGCCTCTGGTTGCTGACTTTTTCTTATTACAGAAACCCCAACAGATTCAGTCAAAAAACTATTAAGCAAAAAACTGTAAACAAATTCAGTGAAACTGAAGAATACAAAAATATAAAATATGTAACATTTTGCACATTGCAACACAAAAATCAGTTGTTTCTGTAAACTAACAATGAACTATTTAAGAAACTAAGAAAATAATTCTGTTTACAGTAGCTACAAAATGCCAGGCTGTGATGGTGCCTGCCTGTAATCCCAGCTCAGCAGGATCGTTGTGAGTTCGAGATCAGCCTGGGCTCACAAAGTGAGCTCAAGGCCAGCCTGAACTGAATAGCAAGACCCTGTCTAAAAAAAAAAAAAAAAAAAAAAAAAAAGTAATACAATAGCTACAAAAATAAAATAAAATACTTAGAAATAGATTTAACCGAGGAGGTGAAAGATCTGTACAACTATAAAACACTGATGAAAGAAATTGAAAGCACAAATAAAGGGAAAGTTATCCCATGTTCATGGATTGCAAGAATTAATGTTAAGTGCCCATAATACTCTAATCTACAGACTCAGTGCAATCCCTATCAAAATTCCAATCGTGTTTTTCACAGGAATAGTGAAAACAATTCTAAAAGCCCCAAATAGCCAAAATAACTGTGAGGAAAGAAAAAAAAGGATGAGGGCAAAACACTTTTTGATTTCAAACTGTATTACAAAACTGTAGTCATGGAAAAGCATGATACTGGCAAAAAAAAAAAAAAAAAAAAGAGACAGTAAGGGAACAGAATACAGAGCCCCACATATGGTGAACTCATTTCTGGACATAATGTCAAATTGGGAGAAGGAATACACAGTGGGGGAAAGGCAGTCTTTTTATTAAATTGCTGGAAAAACTGGATATCCACCCATAAAAACTGACACTGGATCCTTATTTCCCACTATACTTGAACACCAACTTTTTTTTTTCCAGTACAGGGAATCAAACTCATGACCTTGTGCTTGCCAGGAAGGCGCTGTGCTGCTGAGCTAAATCCCCAGCCCCTTGAACACCAACTTAAAATGGATTAAAACCGGGGGCTGGGGATTTAGCTCAGCGGCACAGCGCCTGCGGCAAGCACAAGGTCGTGAGTTCAATCCCCAGTAAGGAAAAAAAAAAAAAAGGATTAAAACCTAAACATAAAATCTGAAATCATGAAACTATGAGAAGGAAACATAGACAAAGGTCTTGGTGATGACTTTTGTCTCTAACATCAAAAGAGTAGGAAACAAAAAATAAATAAGACTAAATCAAAAAGTTCAGTGAACAAAACATGAAAAGGAAATCTATAGAATGGAAGAAGAAAACATTTGCAACTTATATATCCAAAGGATTTGCATCCAAAGTATACAAGGAATTTACACTACTCAGTAGCAAGAAAATACCCTGATTTAAAATGGGCAAAGGGCCTCAGTGGACATTTCTTCAAAGGAGACATACAGATGGCCAACAGGTAGATGGACATCACTAATCACAGGGAAACAAAAATCTTAAACCACTGTAAGAGCCATCTCACTACTATCAGAAAGCCAGGAGTGGGCTGGGGATTTAGCTCAGTGGCACAGTGCCTGCCTGGCCTGCATGAGGTCCTGAGTTTGATTCCTGGTACACCCCCACCAAAAAAGCCCGGAGTAATGATGCCAATAAGGTGTGGGGAAAGGACGCCCTTGCACACCGTTGGAGGGGGTTGTAAATCGGTGTAGCCATGAGAGAAGACAGTGTGCGATTCCTCGGAAACACGCAGAGCCATCTTACGATCCAGCAGTCTCACCTCTGAGTGTATGTCCAGAGGAAATGAAGTCAGGTGCCTGATGTCTGCACTGCTGTGTTCACTGTGACTCTTCCCAGCAGCCGCGGGATCAAGACAGGTGTGCACGAGTCAAAACAAGGAGAGGGAGAATGGGGAGCACTGTACCTTGGCCTTTAAAGAGGAGACCCAGCCACTTGTGACACGTGGAGAAACCTAAAGGTTCTTATGCTGAGTGAAATAAGCCAGCATGGAAGGGCAAATACCATTTGACGTCATTAATAGGAGGAACCTAACAATGTCAGTCTGATAAGAACAACAGGGTGGTGATCACCAGGGGCAGGGGTGCAAGTGATGAGGGGGTGTCACCTCCTGTTACGCATGATGGGTGAGCTCTGGAGATGTGTGGCGTGGTGACCACAGGCAGTGATCCTCATTGTGTAGGTCTGGCGTGTTCTCATCAAGAAGTGACCGGTGAGCAATGCTGATATTACTGAACTTGAGGGTGCTAATCACCTCACAGTACCTCTGTATATCAAAACATCACCTTGCATGCCGTAAACGTACGATTTTTGTGTGTCAGCCGTACTGCAATCAAGCTTGGGGAAAATATAACTTACAATAATTTATACGTAAAACTTTTAGGATTTCTTTTAGTAATTTTATGATTTTTGTTTTTAAGCTTTAATCTTTCTACTTGATTTGTTGTTTGGTATCAATGCTGTATGAGTTAGGACACAAGTTTTAGGAACACAATCAAATTGTCTTAAGCAGGGAAAGGATATTTATTTTACTTAAGAAACACTGCAAGTCCAGGAGGGCTGGCTTCAGGCGCAGCTGGTTCCAGGAGTTCCCTCAGCATCATGGAGGGGTGCGGTGTTCCTGAGTGTTTTGCATCCACTGTCTGTGTAGAGCTTTTGCAATTGGAAATCTACAGTGAGCGAAGGCTGCCTCTTCTTGGAAGGCCTGTGCCCTTGCAGTGAGGTTGGGAACTTCCTGAGTAGTGCCAGGCCTGCCAAGCTGGCTCGGCCAGCACCCAGAGGAGCCAGCCTGCCGCGTTCTGTGAGATTTGAGTGGCTCTCTGTGGCCATGGAGGAGTGGTGGGCTCCAAGAGGCTCAGGGTTCAAATCCACATCTGAGCCAGTGGCCTTGGGCAAGGACTTGGCCTCTCTGAGGCTCGGTTTCCCCAGACACAGCGTGGACATGGAAGTCGGGTGTGTGGGGTCCAGGTGTAGGTGAAGGGCTGACGCTTTCTAGTGCTTGGCAAGGCGGTGCCTGGGTGGGGGTTCTCTGCTAGTGTCCGGTAGACTGTTGGGAGCAGCAGTCAGGGCCCTGGTCATGGACTCAGTGGGAATGGACCCGGGACCTGAGAGTACAGCCCCTTGCCTCAGCCGGGACCCTGGGATCTGTGTGTCTCACCGCCCACATGCGCCCGGCTGGCCAAGAGCCCACCATGCTGCCTGGGGTGGCCCATGGGCTGGGAGTGGAGCTTGGGTATGGGTGTCAGGGGACACCGGAGAGCGGGGACTGTCCACTCCCGTGCTCAGCCCTGCGCTCCTCAGCAGCTGGGGGGCGGGTTCTGCCGCCTGACCGCCCGTGTGCTCTGCTGCAGGTCAACACCTTCATGTCCTTCGTGTTCCCCATGGTGGTCATCTCCGTCCTGAACACCATCATTGCGAACAAGCTGACCGTCATGGTGCGCCAGGCTGCGGAGCAGGGGACGCAGCCCGGCACGTTCAGCATGTCCATCGAGCCTGGCAGGATCCAGGCCCTGCGCCACGGCGTCCGCGTCCTCCGTACGTAACTTGGGCCCGGGGGGCGGGGCAGGCCGGGGGTCCACAGAGGAGGCTGCGCTGCAAGACCCAAGCCAGAGCCGGTTTCAAGCTGTGGGGTGGGAGGTCCAGCAGGACCCTGGCTGTGCCGCTGTCTGCACACCCGCTCATTCGCTGGCAGGTCTGCCGGGTGCTCGCTGTGACCCCGGCATCTCCCTCCCAGCTGCAGGCCGGCTGCGCTGTATCAAGCCTGCGGTCAGCGCGGAAAGCCGGCCGGGATAGGTCTGCGTCGTGGGCCCACGCAGCCTCGGGAAACTGGTTTGGCCCCAGGTGTGATGGGAAAGTCTCAGGAGACGGCGCTTTTCTATTCAGAGCCCCGGGCCGTGCACTTGCACTTGCTAGGGCGTGGCCTTCTTGGTCCTGCACTTTGCAGGCCCCGAGGTGTGGCTGTGCCCCTCGCGAGGCCTGGTGCTGCTTGCTGCACCCGGTGGGGGTTCTCGTGGGGAATCCAGAGAGGACCCCTGGCGGGCAGCGGGCAGCAGCTCAGTGTGTGACACCTCGAGGCAGGGCCTGGCCTGGCCGAGGCAGGAGGACTCGTCTCCAGACACCTGCCAGGCCCCTGCCTGTGTCTCCACAGTGCCCCCAGCTGCGAAGGGCAGGTGGGGCCTGGGCTAGGCAGAGCTGGGCATCCCTGGCCCGACACAGCTGTCCTGGGGTTGTCGCCTGTGAATTGGCTGCCTGCCTGCCTGCCGGGGGCGCCTGAGGCACCTATGAGCGCCCTCCTGCCATGGTGCACACTGCAGAGGCCACTGCTGGCCCTCCCTGCCGGGCTGCCCCTGGCCTCCCAACCCATCACTGTCCTGGCCAAGTTTCTGCCATCCCCACCTGGCTGTCTCCTAGGCAACAGAGATCAGGCAAGGTACAGATGCCCACAGAGACAAAGCGGCCCCTGCCTGCCTGCGCGAGGGCCATGGGGTCAGCCCTCGGGCTCTCTGTAGGGGCGCGTCCGTCTGTCCACCTGTCCACTGGGGCCCTGCAGCACCGAGGAGCAGGAAGCAGCCTCTGGCTGGAACTTTTTGTACTTGGTCTGTTGGCCACTGGCTTGGGCTGTGCAGGCAGGCGCCGGGGGCTGCTCCTGGTGGGATCTGCCCCTCGAGGCCCCGCTGCCAGCCTCCGTGCTGCCCGGTTCACCTCCAGGTCCCTCCCACCAGGGACGAGCTCTGGGCAGCATCACCAACAACGTCCTCCCATGTCACCAATGGGGCAGGACAATATCTCAGGCCTTTCGGAACCCAAAGACCCAAAGAGGATGAGGGGACAGAGGCAGCCGCACTCAGTGGCCCCTGGCTGCCAACCCAGCACAAGTCCCCCTGGATGTCTAAGTCTCTGCCCCAGAAGAGCTTGTTAGCAATAACCTCACAGTACAATGAGGCTGCCCCATCCAGCCTGATCCCACCATCAGCACTGCGTCTCCTCAACCCAGGGATCCAAGTCCAGAGCAGTCAGCCGGAGCCAGCTGAGGTGGCAGCCACTGGGGAGCCCTCTGGGGCCCAGGCACCCCAACTCTGCCTCCAGGGAACCTGGGAGACTACATTCTTAGCGGGGTCCTGAGAAGAACACCCTCAAACCAGAAGAGCTCAGGGGGCTCCTGGGTCTACCCTGCGTTTCACAAATGGGGAAACAGGCTGTGAGCGAAGGCCCTGCTTGACTTTGTGCGGTGAGTGGGGCCCTGGCCTGCCAGGGTCTCCTTGTGTCCTCTGGACTCCGGAACCCTCTGCTTAGAGGGAGTTCCTCCAAGTGATTTCTTAAGTTTTTGTTTTAAGTTGTGATTAGAAATTATACAGCATAAGATTTACCCCCGTAACCACTGGCCGGCGTGCACATCACACTGTCATGCAACTATCACATCACTCAGCTCCAGAACCCTTTCACCTTCCCGAACTAGAACCCTGCCCCCTCGGCCTGAATACCTCCCTTCTCCCTGTCCCCTGGGGATCTCACGCGTGGAAGCATTCAGGATTTGCCCTCCAGCGACTGCTTATTACACAGAGCATAAGGTCTTCAGGGTTCATCCGTGTTGAAGCACGTGTCAGAATTTCCCTCCTTTTCAAGGCTAAGTAGCATTCCACTGTGTGGATGGGCCACATCCTGCGTGTGGAGTCATCGGTCGATGGACCCTGGGGTTGCTTCTGCCCGTGAGCTCTTGCGGGTTGTGCTGCTGGGACCCTGGGTGTGAAAATCCTCCTGCTGCCCCTGCTCTCCCTTCTTTAGGGCTTGTCCCAGCTGTGGGTTGCTGGTCCTGTGCTGCTACTTTTGGAGGCACTGTCACTGTGTCTACGGCAGTTCCTGTCTCCTTCCTGACACTCGCTGTTTATTTTCAGAGTAAAGGGTGGAGGTGGCACCGCTGTGCTTGGGCTCTGTGTGTCTCCAGGGACTGGCGTTGCTTGCTGAGCGACTGCTCGTGGGCCCTTTGGCCGTGCGTGTTCTCGGTGTCAGTGCAAGTCTTCTGCCTGTTCTCAAATCAACTTGTTTGTTTTTCACTGACGATTTTGAGCAGTTCCTTCGAAGTGCCTGACACTGACCCTTACGAGGCGCGGTGCAGGTTTTCTGTCTCTGAGTCGCCCTCAGCGCTGATCGATCCCTTTGCTGCGCCCGGGTCGCCAGTGCCGCGCAGTCCGACCTGCGTCTTCTGCTCTTGTGCTGTGGGCTTTGCCTCACACTCCAGACATCACTGCCCTAGAAAGAAAATGATCAAACTCGGCGTGCTGAAGTTTTTACATTATATTTTTTTCTACAGGTTTTATAGCTTCAAGTCTCACATTCAGGTCTTTGGTCCATTTTTGGTTAGTTTTGTACAGGGGCGAGGGAAGGCCCAGTTTTGAGTTCTGCATGTGGACGGCATTTCCATTTTCAGCTGAGGAGGCTGAGGAGGCTGCCCGTCCCTGTGTGCAGGGGCTGCGGTCTGGTGCTGAGCTCTGTCCCGTGTCTGCCAGCGCCAGACTCTTTTGATTATTGTAGTTTGGATGAAGTTTTGAAATCAGAGTGTGAGGACTCTCGCCGTATTCTTTTACTAGGTTGTTTTGGGTAGTCAGGGTCCCTTGAGATTCCTTGTGAACTCTTAGGATGAGCTTTTCTATTTCTGAAAAAAAAAATCATTGTAATTTGATGGGGATTGCATTGAATCTGTAGGTCATTTGTGTAGTTGACATCTTTAAGAATATTCCTCCATTTGAGGTGTCTCCCCATGTCTCCCCAAAGCCTGCATCTGTCTGTGAGGTCCACGTCTGTCTCCGCAGTCCATGTCTCTGTCTGTGAGGTGCACATCTGTCTCTGTGAGGTCCACTTCTGCCTCTGTCTGTGAGGTCCAAGTCTGTCTCTGTAGTCCACGTCTGTCTCTGCAGTCCACGTCTGTCTGTGAGGTCCACATCTGTCTCTGCAGTCCACGTCTCTGTCTGTGAGGTCCACCTCTGTCTCTGTGAGGTCCACCTCTGTCTCTGTGACGTCCATGTCTGCCTCTGTCTGTGAGGTCCACCTCTCTGTCTCTGCAGTCCACGTCTCTGTCTCTGAAGCCCATGTCTCTCTGAGCTCTCTGAGCCCCATCTCCCTGCCCCTCAGGCGCCGTGGTCATTGCCTTCGTGGTCTGCTGGCTGCCCTACCACGTGCGCCGCCTCATGTTCTGCTACATCTCGGATGAGCAGTGGACACCGTGAGTACTTGGGCCCTGGGCGGGCCCCCCAGAACAGACAAGTGGGGGCTGGCAGGGTGGCGGGGACAACCTGGCCAGTGTGCTAAGCCCAGGGCCTGCAGGTGTGCGCACAGTAGGCGGCCAGGAGAGCCAAGTGGAGCAGACGCAGCGGATCCTGAGAGCCCAGGTCACCATGCCGGGCCTTAGGGGCTCCTCACACGCTGCCAGCCTTAAGGTCACAGCTTCCCCAGGCCAGAATCAGCGATGCAGCAGTCACACCGAGGAGCCCCGTAAAGCAAAGGGGCAGGTATGCAGGGCAGAGTCAGGGGCCTTAATTTCATTGATGATTAAATCAGGCAGCTGCGCGGATGCTGGGGTTCTGCCAGGTGGGCTGCAGGAGCGGTGGGGACGGGCAGAACCGAGACAGCCCCCGCCTGCAGAGGTCCAGTCTGAGCGAGATGGAGGCCGGAGCCAGGCGACGGGATTTGGGGTCAGATATCCCCAGGAGAAATCTCCCCAGAGGTTGTCTTGGTGCCCCGAGTGGCCATGCTGCCGCCCCCAGGCTGTCACTGCATGGCTCTTGTGCAAGGCCTGAGCCCTTGGCTGTGAGTCTGACCGCCTTTCCCCACAGGTTCCTCTACGACTTCTACCACTACTTCTACATGCTGACCAACACGCTCTTCTACGTCAGCTCCACCATCAACCCCGTGCTGTACAACCTCGTCTCCGCCAACTTCCGCCAGATCTTCCTGTCCACCCTGGCCTGCCTCTGTCCTGCCTGGCGGCGCCGGAGGAAGAGGCCGGTGTTCTCTCGGAAGACCAACAGCGTGTCCAGCAACCACGGCTTCTCCAGCAGCGCCACCCGGGAGACGCTGTACTAAGACCCACGGGCCCGAGAGGCCACGGAGGCCACAGAGGCAACAGGGTGGCGGCTCAGCCTCCCAGGCCTGGCCCTCGCCTCAGCCAGAGGCCCTTTCTCCTCCACTTCTTCCCGCAGCCCAGCCCTCTCCTCTCCTTCACCCCCCGCCCCCCTCCCGCTCAACACCGGAACGCAGAGCCTGTTCCTTTCCTGGATCCCAGGCGGCCTTGGATTCGGGCTCAGAGAACTGCGGCTTTCTCTGTTCCCAGACTAATGGACTTTTAGAGAGAAAAAGGAGGTGAAAGGAGTGTCCTGGGCTGGGTTCAGGGCAGCCCCTCCACAGCCCCCCTGGAGAATTCCGCTGTCCGCCCGCCCAGCTCCATTTTCGCCAGAGGCTGCAGGCCCCACCCACCTCCCGCCCCTGGCCCAGCTCAGGCGAATCCAGCCCCAGGCCCGGGCACTGTGGTTCTGGGCCTCCTACCCAACTCTTCTATGCGGGCATCCCAGGAGCCCTGGAACTGCTCCAGGCCTGGGCCCGTGCTGAGGGTGAGAGCACTCCTCCCCTGCCCTCGCCCTGGGGTGTCTGTGGCCCACAGAGGTGATCGAGGCTCCCACCCGCACAGAAAGGACAAAAGGCCCTGACCTGTGAGAGCCTAGACCTGGGCCGCCCCCCAACCCGGCCTTGCCCAGGCCAAGACCCAAGACGCCCTGTGTGGACATGAGGCGGAAGGACACTGGAGCTGGGGCCCTGTGGAGCGGCAGAGCAGGGGAACCTCTTCCCCAGCCCAGGCGGCCGTGGCCGGGCTGGCTGATCCCCCAGCACACAGTGGCAGCCAGCGGAGCCGAGCTGGCCTGGGGGTGGGGCTCTGACAAGGGGTCACATGGGCCGGCTGGCAGGACCCGGGCAGGAGCAGGTAGAAAGCTGGGACCGAGTGTGCGGCACCCCAGCTGGCGGCCGCTCCAGGCCGGGACAGGTTCATTTGTCAGCAGCCGCCAGGCAGCTGCCCTGACCCCCAGCTCCAGACGCCGGGAAAGCAGGCGCCTCCGCGGTCTCCGGGAGCTGTCTCCAAACAGGACGGGACCTGCCCAGGCGCCCTGCAGAGACAGGCAGGGGCTGCAGTAACAGAACAGACCCAGAAAGCACGACCTGGCCTTAAGAGGAGGTTTTATGGTCTTAGGGCCCCACCTGCCCAGGAGGAAACCCAAGCACGGGCAGGCAGCCTGCAGAGACAGCACTGGCCTGGGAGGCAGAGCCAGTCCCGTCTGGGGCAGCCCTGTTCCCTCTGGACTGTGAAATGCTGAGCTACAGACCAGGTTATGAGTGAGTGGCCACCCAGACCTGGCCACCCTGCCATGGGTGGGTGTGGTACTCAAAGCCACAAAATCCCTCTGAGAGCCACATGAACCTTCAGGTCACCAGGGCGGGGCCAGTGCAAGCCAGGCCCATTTGCTGACCCCAAGGAGGACCTTCACCTTGACCTCCACAGGGCCTGCAGAGGTCAGTGTGGTGCCCCTGCTTGGGGCTGGGCTCAGAGTTCAGCAAATCCAAAGGCCTGAGGCTGGGTGTGGGCATCAGAGTCTGAAGCAGCACTGAACTTGGAACCGGATGCTCCAGCCCCAGAGCCCTGCCTGCCTGGGCTCTCCAGACTGTGGGGCCATGATTCCGCCTAGCCTCAGTGTCTCCATCTCAGACACAAGCACAGCCATTTTACTCTTGTCTGGTCGGGGCTGTCCTGGAGACTGTGGCCCGGAATGGAAGGAAGGGACAAACCCTGAGGGGCCTCCGATGCTGACGGCACAGGTCTGCAGGGGGAGTGAGCTGCAGCCTGCGTTCTCGTCCTGCTGTCTTTACACTCGTGTCCTTGTGCGTGGTGTAGAAAGGGGCACATGGGCCCTCACTCTGGGCCTCACTCTTGGCCTGTCACAGTGGCGCTCTGAGGGCTTAGCCCCGTGTGCCGAGAGTTCATGCCCCAGGGAGTGCAGAGTCCCAGGAGCCCAGATGTGGTGGCAACTCCCATCGTGTGCCTCAGACATCCCTCCGTGTGCACCCCGCTCCGTGCTGCAACCAGAGTGCAAACCCCCCTATCTCTCAATAAAGGAGCCTGTGGACCCCCGGCTTGGACTCTTACGTAAGGGCCTAGGAGCAGCCATCTTTCCTCTCATTCATTCATTCATTCAGACAGGGCCTGCAGCAGTGGACAGCTGTCCACTCACCTCTCTTGTCAAACCACACAGGCATGGGTCCCATCTCCCTAGGCCCCCGCCTCCCTCTGCTCCTGCCACCTCTGCTGTGTGCTTGCTCCTGGCAGAAATTTCTCCACAGGCAGTTGACCAAGGACTGTTTTTATTGGTTTTTTTT